GCCGGGGCTGGCGGCAGCGTTACTGCTGCTAGGCCAGAACCCAGGTGGTCGGTTAAATCTTCTAACTCTCGGAAGCTCGTAAAAAATGAGCCTACCTTGATTAGCGTGGTGTCCACTTGCGGCGCTGAACTTCACAGAGACGAGACGAGCAAAATTAGCCGTAACTGGGTTGAGTGACCGCGATTCACAATGGTCACTAGCGGAGCCGAAGTGATGCACCTTTGTCATCGACGCACGCCTCTAGCGTCTTTCACGCAGTTGTTGACATAACTGATCTGCCGTTGCCTTCTACTTTTCAGTCATTTTCGGAAAATACCATAAAGACGCCAGTTTTTCATAGGCATGAAGAATTATGTTGATCAGAATTGAGGGGCCAAACCTTCAGTCATTCAGGTTGACCAAAGAGTCAAAGTACGTATTCTAGGAAAAGAAAACACAAGCATAAAGGTCCGTAAACCGTTATGTCTGTGATGGGATCCCAGGCATTTAAGCTCAGTGATACATCGGTTTGGATGCTTCTAAACTTGTAATAGTCCATTCCGAACGGGAACTACCTTCACGCTTGCACTCTCGAATACCTTTGCACAACCAGTCGCAATACTCTGCCTTGGTTTCACGATTGTGTTTCTATCCCTATTCCTGCAGCATCACCATCTTTTTCTGGAGGAAATAGTATTGAGGCACTGGTTTCAAGTCCGGCTGCAGTGCCCAGCCACCGTGAAGTTTTACCGTGCACCGAGCACACCAGTATCCTTCCTAATACTAATGTACACTCTTCCAAACCTTCAGGTTATCATTTTTGCATCAGGCATCTCTGTCCACAGCTACAGCTGAAGGACGCTTAAGCGAGTCCTCGGACCGCAGCTATTTCTCTACGCTCTCAGCTGTACCCGAGCAGTGCGTAAGCGAGCCAGTAGACTCATCCTCACATACAAAACTTGCTGCTCCGCAAGGGAGCACTTCAGAGCGCAAGGGGCTTCGGCTCTCTAAAAGTTCGCGTAAGATACCATTCAGGTTTAAGGATTTCATGTCCTAAATTCTTCTTTCTTACTCGTGTCTTGGAGTTTGTACCATACGTCTGCATTGTTGTGTGTATGCTGTGTATTTATGTTTTGTATAAGGGTTAAGTCTATCACTTGAACCTTGAATAAAGCAAAATATCAAAGTTGGTACACTGGTATGCTATGATTTTTTGTTGTATGTTGTTTGTATAAGTGCTTTCAGCCATGGTGCGATGTGTACATAGCAAGATTTTTTTCTCGTTCTCATGCCCCTTCTCTCTTCTTCCATTGGTTATTTTACAATGAACGAAGGGGGGGATGTTAAGGTTGTCAATACAGTAGATTAAGGTTGTACAAGTTTTATGTATCAGACCACTGCTTCTCAAAAAATACGACAGGTTTCACCCCCGAAAATCTGTTAGCGGCGTTCGGTGCAGGTCGCATCGCAATGTTCAGGAAGCTTAGCGGTTGTTTGAGGTCATTTTGTCAAGTTTACGCGCATAACGCAAAAAAGTCAAGTTTATTCAAGAGCATCTAGCGTTATGCCCGCCATTAACACTAGATGCATAGAATAAGTAAACGTATCTTTATATAGAAAGGCAAGAAAAAAATCGTCCAGAAAAACAGACTCCAGCACGTGGAATCGAACAACCAACCTCTGGATTGTGAGTGCGAGGCAGTAGCCACTGAGCCACAAAGGAGCACCTCCGTCAATGTTCCAACGGGAAGCTATTTATATCTACCACTTACCACTGGCAATGAGCATCTAGGGAACACTATCGTGTTTTTAGCATTACCAGAGAGGTGGCGCAATGAGCGGGCGTCGCTAGATCGTGACGACGTGGTGGTGCGTGCTCTCATCTCCCACGCCTACTTTGCCCCGCGGTTAGGAGTACGCTAACGCATGCACTCGCTTATCTCGTGCTGGGGACGATCAGACGCATTGGGCTTTCACTGGAGCGATTCCGTTGTAGTTGATTTATATGTGGGGTGTAACGCCCCAAAACCACCATATGATTATGAGAGGCCCGTAGTGGAGGGCATATCGTGAACTTATTTACAGCGCAACACCAGCAAACACAAGACAAGGAAGGAGCAAAAGAGAAAAGAAAAGATGGTTCTGGAAATTTCGACCACTTGGAGTTCTTTACCATGCACCCAAATCTGAGCACACGGGCCTACAGCATTTCCGCCTCCATCGGAAATGCAGCTGCCGCAGACGGTATTCGATCCCGAGACCTGCGGGTCAGCAGCCGAGTACCTTATAGCCACTACACCACCACGGCGGGGCTTTCTGTTGTAGTTACAGGGCGTACAAAGGTCACTCGTTGCACAGTCTCCATTTGCAATAAGGGCGCACATTGCAGACACAGCGAAGTAACAACAGAGACGCTTATTTGCGTTCATCTGTACCTGTGAGAACGTTTTGTGCGGCATTAGGGCATGAGAAATGCAGCGCAGGTTTTAATCTGCTTGCCATTTTTCGCGTGACCTTCCAATTTGTTGCTATCGCGTTTATTCCTTCGCCTTTGCGGCAAAGCTGTGACTTTCTACAAAAAGGAAAGTGGAAATTGAGAGGCTTATGCCAAGCATGTGTGCTGTTGTTAGCAGCAAGTAGCTATGCGTCAAACAATGAAGGTAAAGTTCAACAAGTTATTGCTCGCTTATCTCAACACGCCCCATGATACGCACCAGCTAACTTGTCGTTGGGTCGACGTTTGTGCAACCGCCCAGTTGTACTCAAAGCTGCCATAGGGAAGGTTGGCTTACGAACAGTTGAGACAGGCGCTGAACTGACAGCGTCGCGTGTGCGAAGTGAGTTTTGGTGACCATATTCTCACACGTAATCGAGAGAAAACCTGTTCTGTTATGTTTTTTTCTCTGAAACTGTGGGAAAAATGAAAAATAACAAATTCTTGAAGCATATGGCAATAGGTAATTACCGTATGGTTAGAGTATTTGCCAAGAGTCAAAAGCGCTATATTTCATTATATAAATACCACAAATGAAATTCTTTCTTTCGTTTCAGAAACAAACACATCGTTCAACAGATCGAAGGCAGGGTGGAAGCATCACAGCGAACTGATGTAGCTCGCGGTGAATTGGTGCCACTTCTTATAAATGTTTCTGCAGTTGGAATAAATAATGCATAAATGTCTATTTTGTTGTGGCTGGAAACATAGATCAAGATGGTAAAAAATGTTCAAAATTATATTCAGAGTCGGTCTCAGTGGCTTCATCTGTAGCTTTCTTTATCATGTTAAGATGTTGCATTGAGAAAAGCCTAACTGCCGTTGCAGCGCTTACAAATAGCAAGTCCCTGTTTCCTGCCAAAGGAGTCTCGAACCTTGAAGTGCATGCAAACGTTGGTACTTAACCCATTCATTGCAAAATCTGCTTGCACGTGGTTTTATAGGCGGAGTTTCGTCACAGGCTGCGGAAGCGTACAAGAGAAAGTCAAAACTGAACAATAACGGGTACGAAAACAACAAAAACCATTTACAATATCAACACATTCAAAAAAATGCCAGGCCTGCACAAAAGGCGCAGCACAGTCACAGCGAAATATAGAAGAGCGGCCTTTCAGAGCCTTTTCAAAACATGCATTGGGTAACTACTGCAAGCACACTTGTTTGATACTTACTAGGGCATTATTAATAAACTTTTGGGTAGCAGGCCGGCACTAGCTCTGCTATTCGTCGTCATTCTTCTGAGAAGCGTGGCATCCGCTGAACACTTGCAAAGAATTTCGTGCCAATTGTTCATGCAGTGGCTGACGACGATGAGGAATTATTGCTGAAGTAGGTATGCGCCACAGTTAATAGGGTAACAAGAACAAGCTTTCGTACTGAGTTGGAGCATTGGACAGCAGACTCGTTAAGCTATTCGCATTGTGCAACAAGTGCTTGTTCTTTCGCGGGTTTAAAACAGTTAACAAGTTATAATAAGGTGATTGCTTTCCGACATCAAGCATCCTAAGGCAAGTTTGCCAACAAGTCACAAGCACCTGCGTAGCTCAGTAGTAGAATACTGGGCTGGCACGCAGTAGACCCAGGCTTCGAGCCCCACGTGTAATAATTGCGAATTTTTTTTTATTAATTTCGCGCGATGTGGTTACGGACTTCGGCAGCGGCGAAAGACTACAGGGCGTGATCCGATTGTGATCTCATAACAGCTTTCGCTGTAAAACGAAGCTGACTATATGTGATTTTGATGGCGATTGGTCAGCCATCAATTAGTGTTTTGGTATCACGTGTGACGTTTTGGTTTCACGTTTAACGCTGGATGTTACCAAAGCATTTTTTCTGTACGTTTTGCCCCACGGATGTTTTGGTCCATCTTTAAATTTGTGCCGAAAACAGAAACAGTTCTTTTCAAAATTTTTCTGTTTTGTTTTTTCATCCTTTGCATCTCTATTGAAGACAAGCCAGGGCTTCTGAAAGCGCCATGCTAGACCAGAATTTTTTCGTGTAGTCACAGAACGACACCAGCCCGGAGACGGCACCTTCATTGCCTGCAGCTAGTGTTTCACCTTCAGTACCAACGTCGCTGACAGGCACTTCTATAGGCAACTAGCATCGACGCTACCCCAACAGAATCATCGACCACCTGATCGGTTCTCAGAGCGAACGTGAACAGTCAGCTTCATAACAAAAACCGAATAAGTGCTGTGTCCGCAGTAGTGCCTTGATAAACAAACAGTGATCAGTGCGCATGCGCGCACTAGTACCTAAATGATGAAGATCAACGCTCTATCAATCTATTCGTTATGTAACTGTCAGCCCGCAAGCTTAGGGCGATAAACGCTGTTATTTCCTGTTGGTACCCTAGCCCGCCAGTCCCTCCAGGACATGTAAATGTTTTATTCTACATTTTTTGTGAGATTGGAGTAAATAGCGCAACTTAACAAATTTCTGTGGGACATGTCCATTCGGGAAGACTATTTTCGCGTAGGCTGCGCAGGCTGCGCAGGATCACAAGCTCGCTGTTCAGACTTACCCAGCTGGTGCATCCATTGTTGCAGCATGCGGACAAACACAGCCAGCACATTGCCGCCGTTCAGGGAGGCGGCCACTGCCAGGTACCGGCCGTCGAAGTAAGGAAAAGCTTCTAGGGCGCTTCTCGCGTCAACGCTCGTCTGCGGCACGAACGATGGCTCCAGCAGAAACGACAGCTGCGCTGACGTGCTCATGTTCAGCACTGCAACGAAGGCAGACGAGAGAAATACAATAACGCCATTCATACTGAGCACTCGAAATCGTGCGACATTGTCAAACAGTGCACGTGTTTATTGCGATAACAATTATGTGGACACTGTTGGCCTATTTCTGTCGTCACCGTCACGTCCCAGATATATATATGTATAAACGTTTCTATATATAAAAGTTGGAAAAAAATAAATAAAACATCCGATGCATCTGACCGGGACTCGAACTAGGTACCCCGCACTCCACAACGAATCGGCTTAAATAACTATGTTAAGCCCAAAACATAAGCAGCGTTTTTCTGGCGTTTTACCGGCGTTTTCCCGGCGTTTTGTATCCCGGCGTCACTCGGCGTCAACGCTGTTGGTGACAGTGGCCGAAACATCCAATACTGGACGATTCAGATATCTGCAGCGCCGGCGCCGACGCCGGAAGCAAGTCGAGGAATGGTGAACTAATCAACGTGCGGCTGCGAGCGACTTCCCCTACGTAATAGCATCGTTTGCTGCTGTCATGGAGGGAGAAAAAACTTAGGAGAGGCCCTGACGTCACTCTTTGTGAAGCCGCGGTGCAGCCGGAAGTCGGCCATATTTACTGGACAAATATACCTCTCCCTGTTTGTAAACAGTGTGACGTCACTACAGGCACCCCGCCCGCCATACCCTCTCTCGGAGCAGGTGCTGGTCGGCAGGAAAGTTCTTCCGGCAGCATGTTTCTGCATAGCAGAGCTGCGTGTCTGCATTCCTTCGACAGAGAGAGAGTGAGAGATGCAAGGAAAGCCAGGGAGCTTAACCAGATGCACATCCGGTTTGCTACCCTGCACTGGGGAAGGGATGAAGGGGAGAAAAGAGGTTGCAGAGAGATAAGAAGGTACTAACAATCACGAGCACCCTGGGGGAGCACACACAGTCTACAGGCGGTCGCTCAGGTTTGTTGTCTTTAAGTAAAGGAGGAGTTCTTTAGTCGCTTTCTGAGCAACTGAGGCAGATGCCCAAGGTCCCAGAATCTTCTGCACACAGAATGGTGTAGAGTCAAGTTGATTCAAAACCGTCCAGAGCTGGCACCGCTGTGTGTCGTAGCAAGCGCAGCTGCACAGGACGTGTTCAATTGTCTCTTCAGTTCCGCAGGAGTCGCATGTAGAGGTGTCTGCCATAGCAATGAAAAATGAGTACACCTTTGTGAATGCAGCACTCAACCAAAGGCGGCGTAACAGTATCGCATCGGAGCGGGAAATTTGTGATGGTAGCTGTATCTTGAGCAAAGGATCCAGTTCATATAAGTGACACCTTCGGAAGCTGGTAGACGACCAGAACGTGCATGTAAGATCTCGAGCCAGCAGGTAAAGTTGTCTTCCTGCATCAGTCCTTGATAGAGGAATCGGGCCCACTTCATGGGCTGAGCGGGCTTCATCATCGGCTAATTGATTTCCAGTAATACCGATATGTCCAGGCAGCCATTGGTATATAATATCATACCATCGTGCTAGAGCTTCATGATGGCAATGTCTTATTTCATGTACCGATTGTTTACGATTCCTCCTACGCATGGCAAACTGCAAACACTGAAGTGCTGCTTTCTAATCACAGAATAGGACCCATTTTTCTGGGCGCTCTTGAACGAGATATTGTAAAGCAGCACTTAAAGCAGCAAGCTCTGATGCCGTAGACGTAGTAATATGCGACAACCTAAATTTGGTTGCCACTGTTGCGGCCTGAGTAACAACGGCACCTGATGAGCTGCTGGACGAGACGGACCCATCAGTGTATATCTGCGTTCGGTCCAAGTACAGCTCATATAATAATAGCAGTGTTGCTTGCTTCAATGCTATTCTGGAGTGATTGCGATTTTTTGACACCCGGAATTTCTAGACGTATTTGCGGCTGGTCGAGGCACCACAAAGCACATGCAAATCTCGTAGCTGGCGTATATCCTGATGGAATGCTGTTTAAGTGCTTCGCTATGACGTCTGAAAACGTAGCACGTGGTTTTTAGGAGGGTTTAAGGACCAGGTGGTGGTCAGAGACATGGCTAGCAAGTAGGATTTGCACCATGAGGCAATCCACAACTCTATATGTTCTGACCGGATGGTCTTTGACAAGCACGATTGTGCCATAAGTAGAAGCACATCGGGGCAGTCCTAGGCAGATACGCAGCACCTGACCCTGCAAACTCTCCAATGATTGAGTATTGGATTTGCAAGTGTTAGTACCGGCAAGCTGTAGCACAATAGACCCAGAAATAGGGCCCTGTAAAGCTGTAGTAGGGAGGCCACAGAAGTTCCCCATGCTTTCCCGCACATGAATTTCATTACATGCACAATAGATAGCCGTCTCTTCTTCAAGTACGCACAATGCTGGCTCCACGAAAGACTTCTGTCGATTATTATGCCCAGGAAACGATGCGTCCGTGCATATTTTACACTCTGCCCATTGATGTAAATAGGGTATGGTGTCTTTGGTTAGCGTGTACACGCCATGAACGCGCACTTCACAGTTGATATAGTCAGGCCTTGTTTTGAAGGTAGGCTGTTGTGAGGGTTGCTGCCCGCTGTATTCGTGCACGCACCTGAAGGCGAGTAACTGCAGCACTCCAGAGGCAAATATCATCGGCGTATATGGATAGGCACACCGACTTTGGCAGAACCTCCTCCAGACGAATGAGCGCAACATTGAGCAAGGTGGGGCTTAAAACACCTCCCTGAGGTACTCCGCAGTAGGTGTAATGTTCAGAAGTTTTACCCTCATCTGTTTGCACAAAAGAACCCTGCCAGTTATGTAATCTTTTATCCATTGAAACATTCGTTCACCAATGCCTATTGCTGCGAGAGAAATGAGGATGGCATCATGAGCTACATTATCAAAGGCACCCATCACGTCAATAAAGAGTGCCACTGATATATGCTTGCGACTTTTTTCTTGCTGAACAAATGTCGATAAGTCAAGGACACAGTCGATGGAGGAGCGACCCTGACGGAAGCTTGCCATGCAGGAAGGGTAGTTGATGTATCGTTCCAAGTACCACTAGAGACGAAATAGAACCATTCTTTCCATCACTTTTCCGAGGCAGCTTGCGAGGGAAATAGGGCGATACGCTGTCAAGTCCAATGGTGATTTTCCCGATTTCAGAAGTGGTATTTATCGACTTATTTTCCATTCTCGGCGAACACTGCCGCTGAGCAAGGAGTTGTTGAATCATGTTAAAAGTTGTCTTCTGGCTTTTTGTCCAAGATGTCCCAACGCACTATAAGTAATACCATCAGGACCTGGCGATGACGTGCGCTTAGAAGCGACTAACGCACCTTCCAGTTCTTCCATGGTGAATGGAATGTCCATTACTGGTAATCACGTCTCAGGAACGATCACGGCGTCGATGCTCTCGTTCATAATATTTCCGGCTACTCTCGTGCAAAATTCATCATCCACCTCGAGTTCTGATTCTCCATGATGGAGTGCCAAAGCTTTAAAAAGGTGCCGTTGTTGCGGAGAGGAGTGAAGACCACGAACTGTTCTCCAGATATATGGCAGCGGTTTATGAGAGTCTATAGGGATTCGCAGAATGCTTTCCAGCGTTCGCTCTCCAGCTTGTAAATGCGTCGTTGAATTTTTTTTCTGGAACCGTCTTCGTTCCCTCGGGTTGTAAATTGATCTTGTGCGTCTGTATCGTCGTTCAGCACGCCTTCGTAGAGCTCGTCATCTTTCCAGTTCAATGTCGAACTGTGTTACTTTGGACGAGAATGATAATCTACATTTGGACGCTTGCATAGCTTCCGCGATGGTATTTTCCAGGCTACGGGCAAGGCCTCCTTTGCAAGCGTCTTCAACACGCGATGTAAACATCGACCAGTCCGTGCCAATTACAACACCGGAGGAAAAATTTTTTTCTGATACCATAAATCTTCACGCAGGTGGGTATGTGATCACTCCCATGAGTCTCTATATCGCGAAACCATTTAACTTTGTGAGAGAAGCACCGTGACAACAATGTCAGGTCAAGGCAACTGCCATACGTGAGACCCCGCAGATATGTTGGAGTACCATCGTTCATGATGGAAAGGTCGTAGTCGGAAGCGAATGTAACAATATTCCTGCCCCTGGCATTCATCCTAGTGCTCCCCCAAAGCATGTCATGGGCGTTGAAGACACCGGTGGTGATCCAAGGCCCATCGGTCCTCATTAGGATGTCTTTTAATCTGTCGCAGTCAAGTCGCGATGACGGAGATATATATCCACCAATAAGTGTGAACGAAAGAGCATTCTTCTTTACGCGAATACACACGTACTGATTGTCGTCTTTTCAACTTATTGGGTGTGAAAGATAAGCCAAGTCCATGCGGATGTAAACAATTACTTTTCTTCGTTCTTTGCAAGCAGCTGGAGAAAAAGCTTCATAACCGGATAATCTAAAAGGCGTGGATAAGTTTGGTTCACATATGACAAGTATAGGGCATTGATTGGCCCGTAGAAATTGGCAAAATACCGAGATACGGGACTTCATGCCTCTGGCATTTCATTGAAAAATCGACGCACTTTTAACTGCAGTGCGGAAGATGAGACTTTGTTGAGCCATTGTGCTTCTACGATGTTAGCAAGCGCTGGATTCAGTGCATCCAGTATTTGTAGTGCACTCTTAGCAGACGGAGATTGTATGCTGCTCAGTAGCGTGTGAATCGTGGCAACTAATGATTGCACGATTGCAGTCACTTGCCTGTCTTGGTTGGAAAGATCTCGAACCGGGATCCCCAGCTGGCCGTCATGAACCTCCTTCGGTTCGCTTGATGCTGCTTCCCTTTGAAGTGCAGGCCACTCTGTTGCAGTTAGGGTATGCTCACTGGCTTTGTCCTTTACAGCCTTTCCCAAAACATGTGGTCTGGGAGGTAAAGGAGGTGATAATGATGGGGGAGCTGGAAACGCATCGAGGAGGTAGCGGGCATCCTTGAAGACCGACGTCGACGTGAACGACGCCTTCTGGCTTTAGCCGCGGCTTCTCGATGAGATG